CAGAACATGTGTTGATTACAGGTGCTTGAACGCGATCACAGAACCTGACCAGTTCCCTATGGAAAATGTGACCGAGCTCCTATGCTCTATAGCTCGAGTGAAATACATATAAGTTTTGGACATGACACGCTTGTATTGGCAAATATCGCAAAGGTTGACAGCCTCGCTACGCCCAGTGTCTCGTATGCGTGGAAGGTAATGCCTTACAAGTTGCGCAGTTGAGCGGCTACTTTCAAGCGAGTGGTAAATGCGTTACTAAGCAACCATCGTTCGTATGCGTGTGCATACATTGACGATATAGTCATAATTCTGGAGACTTAGAAAGATCACATGCGTAATTGGCAGGCAGTATTGCGAACGATTCAGGAAGCAGGTTTCATAGTAAACCCATTGAAATGCAAGTTTGCCCAGCCGCAGGTAAATTATCTTGGGCATGTGGTGGGGTCAGATGTACGTGCTCCGGACTATGACAGAGTACGCGCTATACAACTGCTGAAGCCGCCTAGCTTAAAGCGTGAACTGAGGAGTGTGCTGGAGCTTCTAAGCTACTATCGGGACTACGTGCTGCACTATAAAAGGCTCCTGTTGCCACTGACGGCACTCACAAACAAAAAAGTTCCGAACACTCTGCCGTCGCTTTAGGCGCTGAGATGACGCTACCGGTGGCAGGGGGTTATATGTTACACTACATCGGAAACAAGAGAGCATCAGGTAGACGATGAAGACGGTGAATGCGATTGCGCTTGTGTTGTTGTTGCTGTTGTTCCTCGATCTTGGCTGCAGCTGCCTCTGACTCTTCATGTATATTTGTTTCATTCATACTATCACCCCTGTGACAGTATGAATTGGAGAAATGCATGCTGGTTATACCCCAGAATATCACTGGCAACAAGCTTTTTGTGCATTTCTTATCAAGAAAAAAGAAGGGTGCTAACTTATACAAGTGCTGCAACACTTTCGACGTCCCAGTTTTTTATTTGCATATAATGCGGAGTAATAGTTGGAGATGCCTTTTGCAAAGGCTGCTCCAACTGTAAGATATTAAATTATTTTGTATTTGAATGGGGCAAAGATGTAAGTCCATTGCTGCTGACTGCATTAGCTAGTGGCGCTCACCAGAGGCATTTCTGGTGGAGGTGACATCACCATGTCTAGTAACTCATAATTAATTAGAAACAAAAGCTGCAAATAAGAACTTTACTTTTGTTTGCAATATTTTTTTACGTTAAACAGATACTGTTGTTTAAAAAAAGAAAGCTTTGCAGCTACGAAAAAAAAGCTTGCAGCTGGCTGCTTTTTAGCCTGTGGCCTCTGAGCATCCAGAAGTGCGCACATGATGCTTGCTTTAAATAAAAGCTTTTTTTCATACCGTTGTACTCTTGTGAGCAGCCCCATATTGTACGTACTTTCCACTTGTAAGCGTTATTCAAGAAATGTTTTCCACATCGCTCATTGGTTTGTTTCACCTTTTTTTATGGTGCGCGGTGCCTCATTATTACTATGGTAGTAGTATGATCCGTTCAGTCGAGGGAGCAGAAACCATAGAGAACTAACTTCTACTTTGGCACTTCGAGCTCTGCTGTTGGCAGGATGATGCTATGTAGTGGGTGAAAGAAATGAGGGCATATGACTTCACAAAATTCAAGTTTACACTAGCATATTTACCCAATTCTAACATGCACCTGACTTGCATAACCCTCCCTTCTCCCTCAAAAAAAGACAGCTGTTGGGCAGTTTAAATGTCTGTATCTGCCCCGCCGCGGTGGTCTAGTGGCTAAGGTACTCGGCTGCTGACCCGCAGGTTGCGGGTTCGAATCCCGGCTGTGGCGGCTACATTTCCGATGGAGGCGGAAATGTTGTAGGCCTGTGTGCTCAGATTTGGGTGCACGTTAAGGAACCCCAGGTGGTCGAAATTTCCGGAGCCCTCCACTACGGCGTCTCTCATAATCATATAGTGGTTTTGAGACGTTAAACCCCACATATCAATCAAATGTCTGTATCTGATTCTAATGCACATGTGCTTAAGGTCTGTTCTTCCCGAAAGAAAGTGTGCATTAATATTGGGCAAATACGATAATTTTTTTCTTCAATTCAAAGTTTTTTATGCTGAATATCTTTGGACTGTGTGCTACTATTGGTACCATTCTTTGTGTATTTGTTTGTCCATCCTGCAGTCTACATAGTTTGCACATTTAAAAAAAGGGAGGTTTTCACACTGTTATAGGGCCCCTTTATAGTATTACGATAGACAGGGACTGGATAGACAGGGACTGCAGTTCTCTCTAGGCATACAGTATGGCCTCAATGCTTGTGGTATTCTGGTTTTCGTGTGTGTTGTCTCCCTGCCACTTTACAAATGTTGAGCACAGTAGGCTTTAGTTTACCACAGTGAGTCATTGGGCAATGTCAGCCATAGCTGTTAGCAGTCACTTGGCCATTGAAGAGGATTCCACATGATGCGAAACCGAATGAAAGAATCTATCGTTATATACACTTGACTTGCAATGATGTTCATCACTTTATGAGGGCTGTGTCTCAGGCAGCACAAAATGCAAAAGCAATGTAAATGGTGCTAGAATGTCGCTGAGGACAGGAGGTTCCGCTCACCTATGCATGTATGCTCTATGGAACAGAAAATTTGAGTTGTTGATTTGCTCTAAGCGTTGTCTTAGGTAGTGCTATTGAGTGAAACATAAGAACTAGGAAAATAAACATGCACAATGCTTGCAATACTTGGTGTTCATTTTCCTTCATTTGTTTATTTCATTTGATAACACAATTTATGACCATACTGAGTGTGAATCAACAAAGTTGTAACTTTTGGTGTGTCTGCTTTCTTTATTGTAACTTTTGGTGTATCTGCTTTCTTTATGCCATTTAATTCAGTAGTACTACTTAAGTCTACTCTTATGTACTCATGCATTGGAAAATGGTCAGGTCGTGAGAAATTGTCTCCTCCAGCGAGAACAGCCTCTTTTTTTCTCTTAACTAAGTGTCCAAAAAAGAAGGAAAAAAAGCAATGCATGCTACGAATTCACCATAGTTGAAAGACATGCTAAATGAAGTGTTAGTGATTGCCAAGAGGGATGCACAACCATGGAAAAAATATATGTGCACCCTGCGCAGTTTTCTAAGCGTGTATTTTCTAAGCGTGTACATTTCTAAGCGTGTACATGAGCAGAAGTGTAAAGCAAAGTTTCCTGTGGAAACAGTCCGTGCCCTAATGTCAGCCCAGCTGCTGCACCTACCTATATGGGTGGAAAGGCTTGTCTTAAAAATGAACATAACAAGTAGACACTTGCATAAAACGATAGACATGCTGTATAATGGGCAATGAGTGACTGTGTACCATATCATAAACTAATTGGGAGAGTTCTGAAGCTTGAAAGCATGGTTTTTAGTGGTCAGAATCACAATGGCAAGAAAGAAAATGAGCAGTGGAAGACTTGCTGTATCAACAACCATTAGCAAACATTTAGCCTGGCATATTGAGTCATGTTAGTGTTTTGCCCTGTAAAAAGTTTTTCTGTAATTTTGTTCATAGTTTCCATAGCTTATCATAAGCTGCTTCATTGGTGTTCAACCACATTCTTGATATTTGAATTGGTGAACAAACTTTTGTCTTGCTAACTGTGATTGTGGCCTGTTGTCTTTTTCCAGAGTGAGCCAGTTCAATTTCGTGTGTATAAATCTCTTAAAGTGTGGTCCCTGTATGCAGACTTGGAGGAAAGTTTTGGGACATTTAAGGTAGGTTTTTATGTACAAACTTATCTAAGAGGTCAAGGCTTGTATATACGGTGACTAATACCTTGTAATACAGTATATTGCTCATAATTCTTCTGGCACTGCCTACTTCTTTAATTTTCTTATATAAGAGTCTTAAAAAAACTCATTTTGATGGTAAAAATAGAAAGCCAAAACGTAGGTCTGTTTGTAAACATAGGGAAGACTAAAGCTTTAACAGCAGGTGTGTGTGTGTGTGTGTGTGTGTTTATTTATCTATTTATTTATGGTGAAAAACAGCATAGAAAATATTGCAAGAAAAACATCTCGTCAAATGCTCAATTGGTCCGCAAATTTTACCGCTCAGGCAAAAAGACAAGTACCTGCAACATTGATCAAAGAGTCATAATTGACTTATCAGAAATGCATTGTTGGCTTCTAAACCGGGTTCTCAAAACCTCAATAAATGAACTCAGTTATTTCAAAATCCTATTTAATTTGGAATATTTCTGTGGTCCTGTGTTTTGCATGTAAGTCTGAACGGATATCTACAAGAGGCCGGCAGCACCAGTTCAGTTTATTTGAAAACCTAGGACATCATGTGCTGATTCCCGATACCAATTTTGCCGCAAGTCTACGGAAACAGCCTTTAAGAGCCGCAAGGCGATGCAACCTAGTGATACTAATGATTGACAGCTTAAAGCTTAAGCACACTAGCCTTGCTACCCGTGCCAAAAAATAGGAGGGTCTCCTGGTCAGCTAAAATGGGCCTTGTGAAAAACATGAAATGGCTCACTGCGACACAGCAGCCACACCTAGGCAGCATATTGCATGCTTCTTGCAACATCAGCGCGTCATTATTTACCCATTCTTTCTGGGAATAAAAAGAAATTAATGAAGGACAGTTTGGCAAAATTCGCAATGTATGCAAACCTCTGATCGCCGGTTGCTCCGACAGTTCGTGCACTTACACTGCTGGCGGAGCTGTTGCCTGCAATGCCTACTTTGAAAACTAAGTCGAAAGCTTTAATGATCATGCTTTCCACCCACAGCACATCACGAATTTCATCACACTGGCCATTAATAAATTCTTTAATCTACCAGAAAAAATGGCCTAATGGTCGCGTCATGACGTGCTGGTGCAGGGCGAGAGCAGGCAAAATTCTGCCTGCGTGTCACTAGTGCTGTGTTGCAGTGAAGATGTCTTGTTTTTTGCAGGCACACATTTTAGTTTATCAGGGTGCATTTTCTTTTTTTTTTTTTTTCCTCATTTTTGTGGCAGCAGCGAAGCCCGCCGTTCCGCCGTTTTTGCGGCAAAATTGGGACTAAGTATGGCTGGAAATTATAACCCTTGGAGCCTTGCATTCCACTTTTTGTATGTTCTGTTAATGCGAAAACCCGCTTGACTCGAAGATTTTTCACAGTCAACGAGGTTTTAATGTATTAGCAATCATTAGCAAATATTTAGGCAGACATACTGAATCGTGTCACTGTTTTGCCATTGAAATAGAAGGTAACACTAAGCATTGCCTTAAGTTGGCTTGTACCAGACATATGCTAGCTAATGAGCACTAGCTCTCATTTGTGTGTTTACAGATTCATATCACAAGGCATGATAAACAGTACGTGCATCGAAGTACAGTGGAAGCATGGCTATTTGTATCTGTCGTACATGTGTGGGCAGTAAGATGTCATATCATCTTATGCCTCGCGCTGGCAGGCACAGACCACAAACATGTAGAAAGACAGAGAAAGCACTTTATTTGTACCTGTGAGAGAGTATGGATGTAGAAATTCTTCCAGCTACAGTGCAATCCACTTATAATGATACCCCGTGCCAATGAAATCTCGTCATTATAAAGTCGAACCCCTTTATAAGTGACAAATGGGTATAATAGACACCAGTGTGCCTACAGTAAAGCGAATTCATGGTACCCTGCTTATAAGAGACATTGCATATAAAAGACACGAATTTCTGGCCGAAACATGCCTCATACAAAGGGGTTCGACTGTAACTGATAATAGTTATAAGCAGATTGAGAAAAGAAAGACAAAAGAAAGGTAAAAAAACATTTTATTTGCACGTGGGTAAGATAGTGCAGCCACGTACTTGTTTGTAGAAAAGCCATACTCTGCCAGCTTTTATTGCTACACGCGAAGCTTGAACACATCTTTCTCAAGAGTATCTAGCTGCTCCACGTAGTTGAGTGGGAGGTCCTTCACGAAAACAAGACTCTATCATGCGCTGGGTCTTCTGCGATGAGAGTAGCTGGGTAGGCTGCTCAATCCTCATCTTCGGAGTCGCCGCTGTTCTCAACACATTTATGCGCAATGATCACCTCATGACTGAGGTGCCTGGACGTTTCCGCAACGTCATCTGCATGAAGTGAATGGCCCTGACATGATGCATCTTCGTTAAGCACTGACCACTAGCCAGCTATTCATCGGTGGACGCTTTGCAGGCCTCTCCTAGCATCGCTAGGAAGTTCGGACGAAAAGCTCTTGCTTGCTTGGAAGAGGCACAGTCGACTTATTTTTTGAGGGTGCTGATGTGATACAAGGCATATAGCGGCGCATAACATTGTCATGGAGAGCTGTTTTCTGAGTGTGCTAATGGGGTACAAGGCACATAGCCATGCCTGACATTGTAACAGAGAGCCATATTCGGTGTGAGCTGTAGCGAGATTCACTGGCTATATCCGATATTTCAGCATTGGAGCATCGTAATGAGCGGTTTATTTTACCATAGATGCACAGAGAAGGACGGTGCCTTCATTGTCTATTGTTATATTTGGTACATTGTTACAAACGGTATCGTTATAAGTGGACTCGGCTGTACAAGTAAATAATTTTTTCCTTGATTTTGTATGTGTTTTGATGATATGAATATTTATTCAAACACCCAGAAATACATATTGCCAATATTTTACTGGGTATTGTAGCATAAAAATGCAAAATGAAAGCAACTTTACTTTTTTTGGTGGAATGAAAATAATTTCGTTCTCACTGGCTTGTCAACATGAACCAAGTAGCTTAAAGAACCACGCACATTACGCCACTTTCAAGGTGTAGGGCTCATGAAATCTGTTCCTTCCAATTTTTGATCATGGTACTGATCTGCCTGCACGCTCTCTTTCCTCGTCGTTCGCACTGACACATACCCATAATGAAAAATGAGCTGCTGGCAGCAGTATATGCTGTTCATTTTGTTAATTATTTGAATTGAATGTATCGAAACTTATTCTTGCCAGAATTCACATTTTAAAATCCTGAATGACCTAATATTTCCTTGAATATAGGAAAATCTCAAATATTCACTTAAAAGATCAAATGTGTTGGCTGATTACTATGTATTACCGTAGCCTTTATTCCTGTATTATGGTTAGTGCTCTACAATGTGTTGATTTCTTAAATATAATTTGTTATGAATAAGGCAGGTATTTTGCAGAGACTAATGCTGTATACAAGTCTAAAACGATAATAATCCTCAGTCCAAAGCATTGTGTAACCTTCCCTATTTGATTTTTTTACATATGCCAAGTCTGCAAAGGCAGTGTATGACCGGATAATTGATTTGAAGATTGCCACACCTCAGATTATCATCAATTATGGCCTGTTTCTGGAAGAGAACAACTATTTTGAGGAAGCATTTAAGGTAAGGTTGAGTACTGCTAAAAAATTGTAGCATGTGCTATACCTTACAGATCCTATTTTATGAATTTTACAGGCTTATGAAAAAGGTGTTGCATTGTTTAAGTGGCCCAATGTTTTTGACATCTGGAACACATACTTGACCAAGTTCCTGAAACGTTATGTAAGTATCAAACATTTGCTTTATGTAACTAAGGGGGAATAGGGAAATTTCTGAGTGAAAGCTCGCAGTAGGTTGCTGTAAAAAAAAAAGTACTTATTTCTGGTGCTGTTTGAAGAGCATTTCGAAACTCCGCTGTAGTTTCGGAATGCTGTTTGGTGTTGCCACCACGTGCTATCGGACTGTCGTGCGAGAATGCCAATTATTTCCAAACGTTGGGAAAAGGAAAGAACTGGCTTCATGGTGGGCACTTTTGGCAAGATTTGCTATGGCACTGTATTATTACTTTTTTAGCAGACATGGCACACACAAAAAGTTGCAAACTGGTTCTTGGTCATAGACGTGCGCATGAAGGGGGGGAGGGGCGGCACAGAGGGCGATAAGCCAGCCCCGTACATTGACGTAATGTGGGGGGTGGGTGAAAGTAGACATGATAGGGAGGAGGGGGCACTGTGACAAACCTTCACCCCCCCCCCCCCTGTTTCTCCCGAAAGGAAACCTTGCGCATGCTTAGGTGCTTGATGGTTAATGCTTACTATGAGTTTAGTGCATAGTTAGCTGCGTTCCCGGCAGGTTGTCGGCATGTATGTACCTTCAATGTGTGCGTGCGTGCACTGCTATGAACTTCATGCTGCAGCGAGCTTGTTAGTGCAATATTCTAGACTCTCTTGTGTTACCACTTTTGTAAGTAATCCTACTTTTGGTTATTTTTTGTGCTTATTTTGTGGGCTTACTGCTTCTGTATAAATGATTATTCAAATTGAGGGACATTAAACTAAAGGAAGCTAAATTTTCTTTTCTTGTGTGTGTCTCATGGAAACACTGTGTGTACTCCAAACACAGGGGTTGCTGCTTCAAAAGCAGATTTTGCCTGCTCCTATGGCTGCTCCGAAATTCTGGAAGGCATTCCCACCACTGTCAGTGTAAACTGTTCAGAATAGATAATGTTTATTTGAACATATTGTCTGTTTGTTAAACAACTCTTTCGTAGGTATGATACAATATTACATACTCTGTAATGACTCTGCTTACTCAAAAGAATATTTTTTGCCTAAGTATAAATCCAGCATATATTTTTCATTGTAAGTATTATCAATAATCTTGTCTAACAAGCAGGATGTGCTTTTAATGTGTAAATATTCTAGAGCTAATTACCCTAGAAAATCTGTGTGCCTGTCTGCCTGTCTAAGGTAACATATCTCGCTCCCTGAAAATTCTCTGGGTCTTATCAAAGTGCTATGCTTTATGATGCAGTACGACTGCACTGTAGTTGTGCCATATAAGTGGTGCAGTGAAGTAGTACAATATGCTACACTCAAACCTCAATATAATAAACAAGGATGTAACAAAATATTGGTTTTAGTGATGTAAATGAAAAATTGTCTTGTAATAGATACAGCATTAAGAATAACCCTTATAACAAATTTTCCGATATAACAAACTTATCTTCTTATAAGATGAAACTTTGTTATAGTGAGGTTTCAGTGTAATTAGCTCCGACAATGAGCATAGTTGGAAAGCCAACGTGCTTTCATGTAACCTGTAAGAAGTTTGTGGTGGCACTAATGGTTTCAAGACAACAAATGCAGTCATTGGAACCCTTGAAAATTTTTGAAATTGAAAAGTCTCTTCAAAGCCCCAGAATTGTTTTTTTTCCTTGAAAGTTCTTGAATTTCTGGACAAATGCTTTGTAATACAATTGAGAGTAGATTGAACATAGCGATGACTGCGCTCAACAAAGAGACTTTTCTGTCCTGTGAGATGTATTATTGTAATGTAGTGACATCCAGAAACAACATTGGTATTTTATTTGCTGCACCTGCACATGTGACGAGTCCATAAGGGCACCCTGGAAATGAAGCCTCCCATGTCAGGGCAATACAGGCCATGTACACGGTCACATGAAGATATGCTCTGATATGCAAAGATGCAGAGAACAAATGCAATTATTGTACGAGCATGCTGAGCCAGATAGTTACAGAGCCACCACCATGCCACCTGTTGCATAAATCACGAAGTAACGAAAGCAACCATCACAACCCCTAGTGCCATATTGTACGTGAGAGCGCTACTGAATGCTGAGTCTGTTGTTCCGTGCATCGGTGTGGCAGGCAGCCTTGATAAAACAAGGCTAGCTCCATGAATATGGTATGTACACTCAACCTCAACATAACGAACTCAGATATTGGAATACTTTGTTTCTCTCAAATTACCTCATGAGGGCTTGACTCCTCATTCAGCAATTACAGTGCTCTTTTATCTTCAATCGTTATCTTCAATCAATCTTTTATCGTCAATGAAATGCGGCACAAGTGAAGGTACTGATAGTCTTATATCTATGAATGTAATCAATAGCTTTATGAATATATTGTCACGGGGTCGTGACGTGGCCGAAGACAGGAGACTTCGTGTTGGGATTTAACTGTTTATTTGGGCGAACCTGTGCCCGGTAAACGGAAAGTCCAATTACAGCAGCAGTCTCGCACAGATAGCAGTCTCGGACTGATAGCGGCGATCGGAGCGTCGGCCTTCGATCAACAACTGACAAGCAGCGAAGCGCGTCGGCATTTATACTCCCGCCGTCGAATGTTCTAGCGCTACCGCTGGCGGCGGCGTACGTTCCAGAACAATCTGTGCCATTCGCACAGTGGGCGTGATCTTATCGAAATGATCTACTACAGTCCGGAACCCTCTCGAAAACTGCAGGCGCGGTTTGCGCTGAGAATCGTGTGGTGTTTTGGGACGATAACAAAAGCTTGGGAAATGGAACGTGGCATTGCCCCCCTCTGAAAAAGGCATCGTCTCGATGCTTTAACTAAAGATGAAGGTACAATAATAATGCAAGAAAGTACAATGAATAAATCACAATACAACAATAATACAAAAAAAGCACTGTTTCAGTTTGTTAACACGCATGAAACGGCTTTAGGCGTGCGACATGGACGACTTCAGGTCGCGATCGGCGTCATTGAGAGTTCGAGGTGCCGTCGGGGACAACCTCGTAATCAAGTGGGCCGAGACGTCGAACCACCCTGTACGGTCCGAAGTACCGTCGCAGAAGCTTTTCACTTAGTCCACGTCGGCGTATCGGCGTCCACACCCAAACACGTTCACCGGGCTGGTATTCCACGAAGCGTCGTCGAAGGTTGTAACGGTGGCTGTCGGTTGTCTGTTGATTCTTGATACGGAGCCGCGCAAGTTGTCGAGCTTCTTCGGCGCGATGAAGGTACTCGTTCACATCGAGGTTTTCTTCGTCGGTGACGTTGGGTAACATGGCATCGAGCGTCGTTGTCGGGCTCCTTCCGTAGACCAATTTGTATGGAGATATCTGCGTCGTCTCCTGCACCGCCGTGTTGTATGCGAAGGTCACATACGGAAGAATGGCGTCCCACGTCTTGTGTTCGACATCGACGTACATTGACAGCATGTCGGCGATCGTCTTGTTAAGCCGCTCGGTGAGGCCGTTGGTCTGTGGGTGGTACGCTGTCGTCCGGCGGTGGTTTGTTTGGCTGTATGCCAAGATCGCTTGAGTTAAGTCGGCAGTGAATGCCGTTCCTCTGTCGGTGATAAGGACCTCCGGGGCGCCGTGACGTAGGACGATATTTTCGACGAAGAACTTAGCTACCTCGGATGCACTGCCTTTTGGCAGGGCTTTTGTCTCGGCGTAGCGGGTGAGGTAGTCGGTAGCTACCACGATCCACTTGTTTCCGAAAGCCGACGTCGGGAATGGCCCCAGTAAGTCCATACCAATCTGCTGGAAAGGTCGGCAAGGTGGATCTATTGGCTGCAGAAGTCCCGCTGGCCTTGTCGGCGGTGTCTTGCGTCGCTGACAGTCCCGGCATGTCCTCACATAACGAGTGACGTCGGTGGTAAGACGTGGCCAGTAGTACCTTTCTTGTATCCTCGCGAGCGTGCGAGAAATACCGAGGTGCCCTGCCGTTGGATCGTCGTGCAAGGCCTGCAGGAGTTCTGGTCGCAGAGCTGAAGGCACCACAAGGAGGTACTTAGCCCGAAGCGGTGAAAAGTTTTTCTTTTGTAGAAGACCGTTTCGTAGAAAAAACGACGCAAGAGCGCGCTTGAATACCTTCGGGACTTCGGCGGTCCTGCCTTCGAGGTATTCTATTAGGGCCTTAAGTTCCGGGTCGCCCCGCTGTCGTTCAGCGAAGTCGTCGGTAGTGATCGTTCCCAAGAAGTAGTCGTCATCCGGGTCGTCGGGTAGCGGTTGGTCGACAGGCGCACGAGAGAGACAGTCGGCGTCGGAGTGTTTTTTGCCGGACTTGTAAATGACAGTAATGTCATATTCTTGAAGTCTCAGGCTCCATCGTGCGAGGCGACCTGAAGGGTCCTTCAAAGTGGCTAGCCAACACAAGGCGTGGTGGTCGCTCACAACTTTGAAGGGCCTGCCGTAGAGGTATGGGCGAAATTTCGACGTAGCTCAGATGATGGCGAGGCACTCCTTTTCTGTTGTGGAATAATTTGCTTCTGCTTTGGATAGCGATCGGCTGGCGTAACTAATAACCCTTTCAAGTCCGTCAGCCCTCTGCACAAGAACGGCGCCAAGACCTACGCTGCTTGCGTCAGTATGTATTTCTGTCTCGGCGAATTCGTCGAAATGGGCAAGTAACGAAGGCGTCTGGAGGCGATGTTTAAGCTCCTGAAAAGCGTGTTCCTGTGGCGTTTCCCACTTAAACTCAACGTCGGCCTTGGTAAGGTTAGTGAGAGGATCGGCGATGCGGGCGAAGTTTTTCACGAACCGCCTATAATAGGCACACAGGCCCAGAAATCGGCGCACGGCTTTCTTGTCAGTGGGCGGCGGGAAGTCGGCGATAGCGGCTGTTTTCCGTGGATCGGGACGAACTCCAGACTTGCTGATAACGTGCCCCAGAAACAAGAGCTCCTCATACGCAAATCTGCACTTTTCTGGCTTCAGTGTGAGTCCGGAAGTCTTGATGGCTTGAAGTACAGCTTCAAGGCGCCGAAGATGCTCGTCGAAACTCGAGGAA